GTGTTTTATTAATGTAATATCTAATAACTGTTAAAATTTCAATGCTTTGTCATTGCTTTTATGTAACGGTTCATACAACCTTCATTATAATTACGAAAAAATGGACTGCGAATCAAGTATGCTTAAACCAAATTTCCAGCACCGAGACGCGGGCGCAGGTGGCGGCGGTCAGTCTCTGATTTCTCCCGGCTCCTGCTTGGAAGAATTCCGCGCGAGACCGTTCATCGAGTGCCGCGCTTTAGGCACGTGCAATTACTTCTCCACTGCCACGTCCTACTGGTTAGCCACCATCAAGGACTACGAGATGTTCCGCAAACCGCTACCGCAGACGTTAAAGGCCGATCACACCTCTCGAGTGAGCCGTTGCGCGGTGTGCATTCGACGCCGCGTCACCGAAGATCCGTACGGCAGACCATTGAAACCGGTCGTGACGAACGGCCAGAAAGAGCAACCCGGTAACATTCAGTATCCGCCGCCGCAGCCGCACTACCCGGATTATCAATATCATAGAAGACCACCACCATCGAACAGACCGAGGGGCCCGTACAGGACGCCCGCTCATTACCGAAGAAGAGGTAGAGTACATAAATCGGGTCGAACGACGGAATCGGTACCAGCTTGAACAACAAATGCTACGTTGGTACAAGCACGGCTATAATCAATAGACTGTGAACGTTTACGCATTTACTTGAATCGATTAACAATAATCTGCTGTGTAACAATTCGTTTTCCGTGTTTCGTTAGGCTCTAGCATTTATTTCTTGTAACTTTTAAACGAAGTTTCAGATCTTTCAGAGGAGGTCTCAATACAAGTAAATACCAATAGAAAACTTAAAGTCACTTAAAATTGATTGAAATTTTAATTTTTAATTTGTATAAGCGTTCACAGCCTAGCAATCAGCGGCGTGCGAGAAAGCAGCAAGTCTGCGTGTATATAACGAAATATTCGAAACACGTTTAGTTAAGTTATCGCGCCTGTTGCGTGTGGCGTAGCAAAGGAACACGTCGAGGCACGAGTGCAACGACCGATTTCATTTTCTTCTTAATGCCAAAAATAATGAGGGCGAATATCCTCCAGTGAAACTGCCAATACGCGACGTCCGTCACGACGGGCGAAATCGAGATGAACCTGTCTAACGTTCGAGTTATATAAATTAATGATTTAGTATATCATGTATATTGCTATTATTATTATTATGTAATAACTTTCTATGTATATGCATTGAGTCAAATAAATGTGTTTTATATAGATAATTCCTATTTGCCGAGACGTCGAGTGTTTTGTGTTCAGTGGCTTCTTCCGAGAACTCTTTACTGCCGTTTTGAAAATAATACAATGAAAGCGACGTGTACTTGTATATTTTATGTATTTATATTTATAAAATTATCAGCAACCAACAAATAGATTGAGAGAAATTTATTCATCTTACAATTAGCTTGTGCTTCCTGTTCACTCTTTAGTCAAATTAATCGTGAAGGAATATAACGTAGATAGTTTTTACAAGATATTTCCTTCAGAGAATTGACACGGGAGAAAATGTAATTGATAAAGTTTAGTAGGCAATGAAAATATTGATAGAATTCATTTCCCGTGTTACGCCTGGAGCAATGAGTTGGGAATAACCAGACCGGAAAGAAAGTGTAACTTCAGCTTCAGATAACTAAGACCGAAAAAAACTCGTCGGAAGTAGAACGGATATTTGCGTAAAAGCTTTCGTTTATTCTGCTAGGTCTTGTACTCGAATATATTAAATAAACGATTAGGTATGAAATGCAGGAGGCGTCATAAATTTTCAATATACACAGCAGAACTTTCATAGAATGGAAGTAAATTTGCTTCATGCTGAAACTTACGCTGATTACACAAGAATATTTTATGCTAGATGCATATTATAGACAAATCGTAAAGAATAATCATAACGAAAAATGAACTATTGCGTTTAGTAATGGTAAGCCTATTGTAATTTTATATTTATGTATCAATATTTTAGATAATAAAATGTATTAATTAATTAGTCGTCACTACTGGCAATATGATTAGGAAAGAGAAATCGATTCTTAATAATCCCACGATCAATTCACTGACGTTATGCATCGTTAAGAAATAAATGCCGTATATAAGGGAACAAATTTCGCTAAGTACTGCTTGTTTTAAAATGAAAATTTTTAATCAGAGTAAAAGCCATCTGGTATTCTAGAAGCGATCAATTTTTCAAACACATTTTTAGCAGAACTCTCCCGTCTCAGAAAGCTTCTTCCTTTGCGAACTTTTCCAAATACTTAAAGTAGCAATAAAAAAATTCATAGTTGAAAATCAGAAGGATACAAAAACCAGCTTCAGTCTAACTTACCAGATTGGTTGTCAATATATTTATGAAAGATAGTCTAAAAATCGAAAATTGCTAAGATGAGTATAAAAAAGATTCGAGTTTAAGGTAAGACTCTGGTTCAGATGGATGGACGTGGTTTAGTCGTGAGAGGGATCGCAGATGCCACGCATTTACGCGTGACACCCGAAAGGAAAAAAAAGTACGTTCAAAACTAATTACAGTTTAATTGAATCGAAGCCGGACCGCGCGGGCCAGGCCCGAACCACCAAAAATAAACGTACACGTGAGAGATCGATATTATATTTATATTTATAAAATTATTCATCATTAGAAAGCACATATGATCTATCTATATGACGTAATTCACTACTCACACACGCGTACAAGCGTGCCTACGAGCGCACGCACGCACAAAGAGAGAGAAAAAAAAAACGAAATACACGCACAGAGCCGCACACATTCACGCACGGTGAAATTAATTTTCTTCTTCCCACACGCGTCCATTCGTTCCTCGTCGCGCACGCGGGCGTAAGCACACATACACACACGCGCGAGCATACATACACACGTACATGGGGCGCGCGCGCGCACGCACCATGCGAACCACACACAAAGTAAGCCGCTGTGTGAACGGCGAACGCGCGACTAACGAAACGAGTATACATGTCTATGTATGCACGTGTACATATTCAGAGTACCTCACGAATGTGTTTTTACAGGCTTCTCGTATCTTCTTTTACTTTACCCTTCTCTTTCGTATTTTTGTCATTTGGTTTCTACAGAGTATTCAATAACCGATGGTACAGTCGACTCTATATCGAAAAATAATATGAGAACATAGAATACAATTTTATTGCACCTGGCTGTTTTCAAGAAAATCGAATTTAAATATTCAGCACGCGTAAACTTGACTACGTCTCAGTGTAACATACTTTGCTAAAACTTATTCTCCAGACTTAGATTCGTGTCTATTTTACTGGGTAATATTAAGAATGAAACAAAATATTTAATTTGTTCGATAATTTTTATTATTATTGTTTAAAATGTTGACGATTTGAACGTATGTAGATGTACGAATTCTCTAAACGTTTCGTAACGTATTCTATTCTTTTAATTAATTAAATATGAAATTATTTCCTGAATTTGAAATACAAACTGTATTACTTCAAAATGTTGCGTACTGCTTTTCCATCGAACGTCAAAGAATTGATGGAAATAAGCTCTTCTTGCCTCTGTACCGTAAAATGAAATCTCCCGTGCTTTAAATTGCCATAAAAATAGAGAGTGATGCGCCAATAAGTGAAAAGTGATGAGGTACGATGTCCCATAATCATCTGCAGATAGTGAATAGAAATAGATTAAGGGCAAGAGCTGTACGTAGCTCGCGAGTCGTCGTTAGTTCGTCACCCCTGCTTTAAAACAAAATCTCAAAAAGTTTTATTCTACACCCTCGTCTTATTTTTTTATATAGAATCTCTATCCTTCCGGTTGTACCATCATAGTTACCGAACACCCTGTATATTTACACAACTCTGCGTAACTGCTCGAATAATTGGAAGAAAGTGCAACAGAGATGAGCAGGCCAGTGTCATCACAGTAATTATCATACCGCTTTGTAATTTACTCGAGAAAATATTCTATTCGTCGTTTCAAAATTTGTTTCTTTCTCCTTTTATTTTGTTTTTGCTCTTACTACAGAATTACCTCACCAACGTAATAATCTTTATTCGTATTGATTTAAATAGTACATCTATTCCGCATCGGGCAAAATTTCATCTTTTCTTTCTCGTCATCAATCAACCCCCGATTCTTATGATCTAAATGTATCTTTAAGAACTTTAACGTTCTTCTCGTTAATAAGATCATTAATCACTAAAACGCCCCTAAAATCAGAACTAAAAAAAATGAAGAAATTCAAAATCTTCGTTTATAATCGTCTAAAAAAGAAAAATAAAAGACACTCGATCAAACAATCGCACTAAACTTTTTCGCTACGCGTACACGTTCTCTACAAACTCGTGTTGTAGATTCGAAACTAAAATGAAACAAAAAAAAGAAAAAATTAAAAGGAAAGAGATAAGAACACCGGGGAGAACAATAAAAATCCGTCGTTGACGACGAGTAATTTGGATAAAAAAATATATATGTATATATATTTATATATATGTATCGCGTTCAAAACATCTACGCTAAGAAACATATCATTCGCGCGTATCAAAGGGGAGAGAAGGAAAAACAAAGCTTCTTTTAATGCGTTCTGGCGCGAATCTACACCGACTTCCGTCGACGACGACGACGGAACTTGTTAACGTTACGTTAACTCGCGAGTGGTCTACCTCGTGGCAGTTTCTTCCAACTTCCTTCATCGTTATCATCATCGTTCGTCACTTGTTCTTTCTCAATTCTCATTATTCTCATTTTTTCGTTTTTAATAATCGGCGAACGAACCTGGGAAAATAAGACACTTGCGTGAGATTTCTTTCATATGCATGTATGCCGTAATACATATGTATGTACACGCCGATTTTTCTTTTAACGTCGCCCGGCGTGCGTATACATATGTACAACGGACGTGAATTAGTCGTACGTTTTACTTCTTAATTTTTCATTTCCCTCCGTTTATGTTTTCTTACAATCTTATGATAGTTCTTTCGTTAACTCGGGTTTTTTTGTTCATTCCACGTTACGATCGATGCAACAACGGGTATCGTTCGAGAAGTTAAATTTTAATGTGCAATCTCTAAAGACCCAAAAGAGAATTATCGAGCTATGCAAAATAGAAGGATTGATCTCCATTATTCTTTTTCTTCTTCATATACTTCACACGTATACATATATAAATATACGCAAATTTATATACCGATTATACGCAAGTAATTCGCAGAATTAATTACGTACAACGCGTTACATAAATCTCTATACATATATACATATACATTTATACAATATATATATATGTATATAAAGGTACTCTTACTATTGAATAGAAATATGCATATTCCAAATGTTCAATAATATCAATAACTATATAATAATTATTACAATAATAATAATAATAATAATAATAA